ATCTACTTCAACTCACTACTAAATGTATGCTCCCTCCTGCCAGCTCAGGTCACTGAATAAGCGACATCTTCTTGTTTCCTCACAATGAGGCAAAATATCACTCTCCATAACTTTCACCCTTTCTGTTCCTCTCTGGTAGAGCTCCACCTGAACCGCTGCAACCATCACATCTTTCAATTACACCATCTTTCAGCAGCTGAGTGCACACCTCTTCTGCAAGCACTTAACCACCCCAGGGCGCATTTCCCAAAAGCAACTATCGTTGCAAGTTCCGTTGTTACCAATAATGGATCCTGCGACCATAGTTAGCTAATGATGCCTTTAGGAAATACACCCCCACACTCTTTAATCCAATGCACACACACACACCTCTATACTGCTTCTCAAATTGGTTTCCTAATCTAGTTGTCTCATAAATCTGGCATTGTGTACTACAACATGAATTTTAATTTCAATTTAATCAACACTTTTTTGAAGTCTCTTTGGATAAAAGTGTCTGCTAAATGTATACATGTGAATGTATTGAAAATATTTGCGTGTGCTTCAATCTATGCATCTATGTATATACTGGCAATTAGCCCTGGTCTCCCCTGTATGCAAACAATTAAAGTTAATCATTATTAATTACTTTAAATAATTAATAAAATATATTATTATAGGTCCAACATCTTAGTTTCATAAAAAACATTTAATAAAAATCCTTTTTTTTAAAAATGTAGCATAATCATTCACTCAGTGCGCGTGCACACACACAAAAAACAAGAACAGGACAACTGTTTCAGAGGTGAATAATTCTTGGAATGGATCATGGAATCTTTCTCATTTTTTCTTTTTCTTTTCTTTTCTTTTCTTGTTGGTTTGTTGCAAATTGTTTTTTTTAGGCCAATTGGAACTTAATCTTTTTTTTCCTTTATATTCCTCTTGCTCACCCCCATTCCAATCTCTTTATTGATTAGCAAACATGCAGCTGTTAGAAATCCATTTTACAAACAAATAACTGAAAAATACATCCATGGATTTTTCAATTTAGAAACAGTAATAAAGTCAAAATCTATTTATGCTAGATGTATGACGTACTAATGTGGTGTACTACAAATGATCAAAATCCACTCTTTAAATTCACACAGTCCTGAGTCCTTCTACTAGACTCATGTACAAAACCAACATTAAGACCTGCCAGACCTTATATGGGTTACTGAGAAACTGAATCATTGTGGAGATTGAGAATATGTACAATCGATCGGAAAGAGCGGGGAAAACAGATTTATCACTGAATGTTTGGATTCAAACGGCTTAGTAACGTGCTATTAAAGGTCACATCAACAGTATATATAATAAAGTTTTGAAGTTTTACACTGGTCCTTCATTAAAAGGAACTAAAAACTTATATCTTAATTGTTGTAGCAAAGTATGTAAATATGATTATTAAAAAAATATACATTCGTACATATATTTTCTTTTTTTCCCCCAAATGAACACGCATCCAGATGCCAGCATGCTATTGGATAATATTTAAAGTTCCAGAAATGGTACTTTTTTGACCCATTTCTGGAGGACCAGGCTTTTGAAAGGAGTGGAGTGTCAAAAATGAGAAAAAAAAAATTCTTCTTCAAAGTATTGTGTAATTATATAAGACTGCGTTTCAAAGATGAGAAAAAAAACCCCTGATGTTTAGTTTAAGTCATACGGCCACTTAAATAAGCCTCTAAAAGTGAAAACAGATTTATCACTGAATGTTTGGATTCAAACGGCTTAGTAACGTGCTATTAAAGGTCACATCAACAGTATATATAATAAAGTTTTGAAGTTTTACACTGGTCCTTCATTAAAAGGAACTAAAAACTTATATCTTAATTGTTGTAGCAAAGTATGTAAATATGATTATTAAAAAAATATACATTCGTACATATATTTTCTTTTTTTCCCCCAAATGAACACGCATCCAGATGCCAGCATGCTATTGGATAATATTTAAAGTTCCAGAAATGGTACTTTTTTGACCCATTTCTGGAGGACCAGGCTTTTGAAAGGAGTGGAGTGTCAAAAATGAGAAAAAAAAAAATTCTTCTTCAAAGTATTGTGTAATTATATAAGACTGCGTTTCAAAGATGAGAAAAAAAACCCCCCGATGTTTAGTTTAAGTCATACGGCCACTTAAATAAGCCTCTAAAAGTCATGAATGTGATTCGTTCAGCAATTCATTCATTCTAACGGCTAAAATAATGAAGAGAACAGTCATTACTACAGCAACCATTTACAAAATATACACAAAAAAAGAAAAAAAAAATACAAATCTCATAAAACGTCAGCTGCATACTGACGATATAAGGCGTAAATGAAGTGTAAATCAATTCTGAATACATTCACAACACCTCTGTTCATATGCTACCTCAATTAACAATAATCATTTTCTCTGACCCTCATCCAAAGCTCTTTTTGGTTTTGGAACCATCACCTAAATGTAAGAAATAAATATGAACAGTCGGACACACTGACCAAACTGAAGTATGCCACATATATCTTCTATAGAGTCTATATTTACAGGAAGTGGCACATTAATCTTGAGAAGAAGGAAAAATAATCCATCTGGGGATATATACTGCCCAAACTTTAGAAAGCAGATACAAGAGTGTTTTGAAAGGGTTTGACATCATTAGGGCATATTGTTTCTTCACAATGGAAAGCGATGCCTTTAATGGGAACGATGCCAAATGAGTGCGTCTATTGGGAGAATATCTACCACAGGCCAAAGTGGCACAAAGTGCAGATGAGGTTTCATGTTAAATCATACACTGAACTGGAAAAATGGGCAAAACAATTTAGGTAAAAAAAAAAATTCACAGTAGTCACAAATGTTGTGAGTTACTGATATCTGGTCATGCACAGTGAAACAAAATGTTTCCTTGCTGAAACATTTTGCAATCAATCTCAGCAAAAGTGAGAGTTTGATACATAATGCAGAGATTTCAGAGTGACAGAAACACTGCAAGTCCCCACAGACGTCTCACATTCTCTTATATTCTCGTGTACGGAGAATGCCGTTAGACTTTTCATTTTTTCCACCTCTCAAAATACTGAAAACCATCTTAAAAAAAAGATTCTGTCTTATTCAATCAAATATACTTAAATTAGAATTCACAAACAGAAACTAAAAATGAGAGTCCTTGAACAAAAAGCGGTGTCGTTTCCCCTTTTTCATCGCCTCCATGAGCGGCTCTCATATTCATCATCTTCATCGTCATCTTCTTCCTCTTCCTCTGGAAGCAGAAAGGGGCTGACTGGATCCTAGAAGTGTGAGCAAAGATTAATATAAATATTAAACATATTAGAACACTAAAAAAAACAAGTTCTTAGAAATGTAATATTCATGCTGGTTTCATATGGAAAAACCTTTATACCACATGATGGTTTTTTTTTCTTAAAGGGGTCCTATTATGCTCTTTTACAAAGTCTTGATTTTGTTTTGGGGGTGTACTAGAACAGGCTCTCATACTAGGCTGTTCGAAAAACACATTATTTTTCACATATTTTACATTATTACAACACCTTTCTCCTCAGTCTGGCATGAACGACTCGAATAGTTCCTGTATCAAATGAAAGCCCGCCTTCTGAAATACGAAATGTGCTGTGATTGGTTAGCTGGGAGTAGTCCAAACGAGTTGTTCGTTGTAGTTTTTGAAAAGTGATTTCTGTTAAATAAAATATCTCCTTTTGAAGTGGACTTTGAACTTTGTAACTTTGCAGATCTTTTTTTATGCTCAAACAGCAACATTACAGACTAACTAAAGTTGAAAAAGTGAAAAAGCATAATAGGACCCCTTTAAATGATATGAAGTAAAAAGTAGTAACATTTTACTTACACCTTGAATACATGCACATCTTTGTTTGACTTGGCAAACACTGCGAATTACATATTTAAAAATATTATATCATTATGTGTAATCTGGCTGTGTAATTACCGTCATTACACGAATTCCTGCGGCGTTGACCTCTTCCTTTGACTCCTCCTCTTCTGGTTCAGTGGACACGGATGGAGTTTTAGGTTTGTACCATGAGATCTGTAGAATTCGACCTTTGAACTTCGCCCCTTGGTTTGCAGCCTGAAAAAAAATATGATTTAGTGGCGATAAATGTAACAAATACCATAAACTAAAGCTTAAATGCAAAATAAAAATAAAAATAAAAAAAGCAACAGTACGTTTTCCGCTTCACTACGGGTTTTGAAGGTCATCACAACACTGGTAGCATCATGGTCACGAAGTTCCTCGATCTCGCCAAATTTCTATACAAGTCATATGGGTTGATCATAAATTTGGTGATATACAAATATATACAAATGACGCACTTTTTAAACTCAAGTCTTACCACAAAATGAGGCATGAGCTCCTCCTTCTCTTCCTGTGTGAAGCCAATAATAGTGAGGGCTCGAGGCCGGTGGTCTACTACCATGTGATTGCCTCCTCCACGCCCCCTCAGGCTCCGCCCTCGGCCCCTCCCTCTGCCTCGACTTGGTGCTGCTGGTGGCTTGCCCCGCCCAGCCGGGATCAGTCCTAGCCGTGTTGCCTACATGATTTTAATACAGAGACAAGTGGATGTGTTAACAGAACTTACAATAAAAAATCTAATATAATAAATAATGGTAATCTAATAAAAATTAAAACATAATATAAAAATAAAAATGGTAAAACATAACTATATATGTATACACATATCAGGGTTTCAACAGGTTTTATGAAGGTAAATTTAAGACTTTTTAAACACCTTTTTAAAACCAAGAAAATGGAAGTAACGTTTACTGTTTCTTCTGATCACACTGTAAAGAAAAATCATGTTGTTCTTCAGTAGTTTTGTCTTGTTTTCCAGTGTAAATGTCAAGATACATTTAAATTACTAAAAACAATTACATAAATTGCTTTATGAGAAATTGGTCATAATGAAGCGAGTTTATAATTACAACTAGCACAAATATCTGCCAATGGATTGAGAAAAATCTACTTAATTCAAAGTAAAAGTAGTTTTCATACCACATTGACAGATTTGTTCTGTTTTTAGGCTATTTTGTTCAGCCTCTCAGAAAACAAGACTTTATTTCCTCATTTTGCATCTAAGGATGCAGAGATATTTGTATTGCAAAAAAAAAAAAAAATTGCAGTGAATGAAACATTTATTAGTGCCATGCCTTTATGAATTTAAGACTTTCTGCTTCGACTTTCGACTTTTTATGCCTTAATTTGTGGAAGGGTGAATAGAGAATTTTTTATTTTTATTTTTCCTAAAGATTTATTTTTTATTTAGATAGGACAGTAGGTCGACAGGAAGCGAAGTGGGTGAGAGAGAGAGGGGGGTGGGATCGGTAACGGTCCACGAGCCAGGACTCGAACTCGGGACACCCGAAGCGCAAAGGCGCTACATGTCGGCGTGCTGCCCACGAGGCCATTGGCACCGACGAATTGAGAATTTTTAAGACCCGCAGGAACCCTAAATCCAGGTACATTTTTTATATAATACCAGTCAAGAAGTTTATACACACCTACTCATTTTATTTTATTACTATTGTTCACATTTTAAAAGAACAAGAAAGCCATCAAAACTATAATAACAATGAAAGTATGGGAATGGTGTAGTGAGAGCTTCTAAACTTTCAAAAAGTACTAGACTTTGAAACTTGCCTAACCTTTACCCTGACTGCAAATAAAAAAATGGTAAGTCACAGAGTGACCAAAGCCACACCACATGCTGGTCATTTCTCTTTCATGCCCTGACTGAACAGACTTTCAGCTAGTGTAGTTTCTTCTGTTCGCTCTCTTCCATTAATTGTCTTCCCTCGATCTTTCTCTCATTTCTTACATGGGAGCCGATCAAACTTTAATGGAATGAGAAGCATCAGCGTGTGGAGAGGGATGCGTGTTGTTTAGGGTCGGGTCCTTGGGGTTTGGGAAGTGCTCAGAGTTAAATGTGCAGGAGATGAAGTGTAATGACATGCATATTTCACACCAGCTAATTTAAGCCCAGTGCCAGCCGTGACACTTCTGTTGTCCCTCTTGTTTTAGGAACGCTTATGTTAGGACTGAGAGTGAGACTGTGTTTGGGTGAAATGGATTATGCTGGTTGTGGGTGTGTACATCTGTGTCTTTTGTTTAGGAGGAAAAAAAAAACATCTTAGCAACTACAGGGCTCCAGACTAACATTTGAGAGCCAAGCTCTACAGATGGTGTCACCAGCACCTGATTTGGGAGCAGCAAAATAATAAAATAATAATTAATAATATTACTTATTACATGTTTTGTCTCTTGGAATGGCACATTTGAAAGAGGCTTGAGTTGACAGTAGCAGCAGCTTGAGCTGGGATGTGGATGTAAATGTATTTCATTAACAAACATCTATTAAAAATTGTAGCAAACTCATTTTTATAGGCTACAATGTAAATATGACTGACTGAGTTAGGATTCTAATCTTATTAAAATTAACCACTGCTCCTCTATAGTATCATACATTTGTAGATCACGACAAGCACAGGTAAAACCATGCACTACCATGGTAAAAAAGTAAATATGGTTTCTATTGTTCTATAAATTAAACGCACACAACCTACTATAGATTAATAACAAAAAATACTAAACAATAAATTGTTACTCCTTTAGTGTTTAATACGTCTATATTAATAATATAATACAATTTGATATGAGTTTCTCTGTATTTCTGTTACAATACCAGTCTTATGTTAACTGGATTGCTGTGGCACAATGTTTCTCCTGTTTCTGGCATCAGTTTGTTGAGAATGTAAGCGCTGATTCATCTGGCTTTAAACTGTTTTAAATGAGAGACATTGGTGCTTTGCAAGAACTCTACAGTGAATTTGAATACTTCTCACTGGATCTCACAGAGCTGTTTAATAATGGCTGCGTGATCGAGAAATGCATATGCTCTGGTCCAAGTTTCATTAATTTGTTCCCTCGTTAATGGAGGATAACAACACAAACATAACATAACATAAAAAAAAATTAAAATACAGGCAAAATGACAATAATTACAAAATACTTCACAATTAAGTGACTATCACAATTAAAAATATACAGTATTTTGTAAGAAAAAAAATGGGTGCTTAAAGGGTTAGTTCACCCAAAAATGAAAATTAGCCCATAAATTACTCACCCTCAAGTCATCCTAGGTGTATATGACTTTCTTCTTTCAGATGAATCAGTCCAAAAGAAGTTAAATAAAAAGCGCCCATCCATAAAAAAAGTGTCTCCTGTAGCAAATCGATGCGTTTTTGTAAGAAAAATATCCATATTCAAAACGTAATAATCACTTTAATGTAGCTTGCGCCAACAGTTGTA